TTTTTGCGCGAAAAACTTAAATCGCTCCTTCTAATTTAAAAACGGAGTATAGCATTGATGTTCACCAATTTAACACAATTCATAAAAAAATATGCAGAATTAAATGTGTAATTTTCCATTGCCAAATGAGTGTGAAATAATAAGTGAATGGATAAACATACTCTTAAGTCACACTATTTGGCTTGACAGGGATGTAGGAGAAAAAATTGATATTGATTTTTCTTGCCTTTTTGTAATAGGGTCTAAAACACCTACATAAAGTATATTTTTTCAATGACACGAGGAAATCTACAAGATGTGCACACGAGTTGTCATTTACATAATTTTTTCATTTGCTTCCTCCAGCAGCCGGTGTTCCTATCAAACCGAAAATATTTATTATCTCAATTTCATCTCCTTTAATATGCCAACAACGCAATATCATTTCCCTTAAATATCTTTCACCGGCGCTCAGGCTGACTGAAAACAATTTCGCATTTCAAAATTTTGATAAAGATCCGGCTAAGCCCGAACAATCCTTTTTGGACAGGCCCTTTACGCTTTGCAGTCCTGGAGTAAATATGAATAAATATTTTTCGTGCCTGGATTATTATAAAACAAAAAATATATTTCGTCGCTATTTGATCAGAATATTAACACAATTTATACAGTCTTTAAAGAAGAATATATTTTTTCGCTCAAAAAGTGTATATATTATTGGTTTCTTCGCGATCAAGCCCCATCGGACCATCGCGCATCCTTTTTTTTAGGATCGTAGATAAATCTACTGTACAACTTAACTGGCTTTCATATTTAATATTTTATTATTTTCTTATTACTAAATAAAGCATGGATCAAAAGTGAGAAAATCTGTAAATAACCAAGTTTAATGTACCTTGTCTTGTTTAAATTAAACTATTTTTATTGAAAATTTGAAAGACGCTAAAATGGTGGTTCCCACCTTATCAAGACTAAGGCCCACAAGGGTAAACTCGTAGCGTAACAAAAACAAGAAATGATTTAACTTGGAACGAAAGACCGAAAGCCGATAGTAGTATTAGGACGTTGAATTTTTTGGTTTGTGAAGCATTGGTACTTAGGTTAAACCATGTGATGATTTTCACAAGTCTTGATTAATAAAACCATTATATATCACCTTTTGATTAGGGTTTAAAAATATGTTCGAGCAATTTATCCAATAATAATTGGCCCCTTTATCTCTTAAGCCTGCTCGTGTAAAATATTTGGACCCCTTACTTCGCCTATTTATATTCTAATAACAAAGGACAAAAGGATGAGTATTGCAACTATATTAAAAGAAATAAATTGATTTTCAGTTCAGAATTATGTTCAGTACATAACTGATATTTATTTATAAAATAAAAATGATATGACCATCGCCTCAGATCTATTAGAAAAAAATCAATATAACAACTATAATACAAGAAGCCAATCTGACTTTCATGTACGGCAAGCCATCACTAAAAGATCCCAAAATACAATTTTTATTAAAGATTTAAAAAATTTAATAGACTGCCTACAGAAATTAAAAAAAAAACAAACAACAATAAATGTATTCAAAAGTAACCTAAAACAATACTTGATAAATAAACAGACATACTTTCTTGTGATAATACTCTTCAAACCTGCCCTTTTTAAGTATATCCCTTAATTTATTGTTATTTTATCCCTCGTTTCACCCGCATTTATTATAAATTATTTCAACATACAAATAAATACCTCGGTATCATAATTGATCAAAATTTGAAATGGGCTGATCACATTTAAAATCCCAAGGTAAGAAAATTCATTTTTAAATTTTATGAATGTAGGAAATTTATGACTAGGAGTTTACTAAAAATTATTTACAATTCACTGGTTAAATATGTAAACCAAAATCGTATAATTAAAATTATCTAAAAAAAAAGCATTATGTCCTACCTCTCTTTTATATAATAAAAAAAGTGCTTTGTATAAGAACATTATATTATCTGTCTTGCTGTATCTTTATTTATGGAAAGCCTGAATTGAGATACACTACAAATTATTTGCAATAAATATCGAAAGAAGTATACATTTTTAAATAATTTGACATTTAAGAGTCATTCACACATTACAGTTGACATCTTGATACTTGACAGGCACAGCCAAGTATTATTCTGATTTTTGCCAAATAAAATGGCCGGTTAATTATTCTATGGGGTTGCGACAGAGAGCCAGTGAATTTGATGGAGGTGTTTTTGTGGCTCGGGGCAAAATAGTAGTACGCTTAAATTGACACCATTATAAAAAAGTAATTTTTAAGAAACTGCTTATATATTTTTCATAAATTGGCAGGCTTGGCGATAATTTCGAATAAAAATAACCTCAAAAATGGCTATGGTTGCAAGTATGAATGTCGCAACCCGTCTTAGAAATTTAACCTTCACTATCAACAGCTGTTGTTTGACAGGTCGTTAGAGAATTCAATTTATTGAATTTAAAGGCGGGTACAGATCTGAGCACGTACGCGTATGAGACAAGCCGAGGCCGAACCGAATGCCTCGTGCGACGCATTTTGTTTACACGAATGGTGGACGCACGAGGCGCTATTCGTCACTGATCCAGTAAATTCGTGAGCACCCGACCGTATACCCAGAACATTCGTAAAATTAAAACAAAAATGAAGGATGAGGATGATGTCGCGGAGTTGAATGCATATTTGGAATCGATTGCCGATTTCCTGCCAAGGATATTCTTTTCTTATGATGCTGTAATAGAACTGGTGTTTTGCTCTCTTAAGATATCACGCTGATTATTTAAATCCAGGAGAAGCAAAACGTTTTTCTGGTTCCACTACATCCTAAAAACTCGCCATAATATGTACGGTACTCTATGGTACAAATTCTCCGTCCAGACTGAGCACGTATTGCGCATTGCCTCCCTTTGATGTACCGCCAACAAATGGATCGGAAGAGGCCGTACGGCGCACACAACGAGGCAATTTTCCGCGCCTTGAAAGCCCGTCCACATCTGCATGCTCATGCGTCCTCGGCTTGCCTCATACGCGTACGTGCTCAGATCTGTACCCGCCTTTAGGAATGTTGACGTTAGAAATAATTTCAATTCCTAAAAGTGTTACATAAGAATTGCATAGGTGGATTTAAAGAAAATTGATATTAAAGTAATTAGGACTAACCGATAATTCTGAAAATCAATAGGGTTCTAAGTTAGAAATAATTATTCAATAAAATCAAAACCGCAAGTCAATCAGAACTTTCGTTCTAGAGTTATCGTGCCAGCATAACTAAACACAGATGACCAGATGAATTTTTTTTTTTATTTTCGAACTCAAAATGATTGGAAACGTGAAAAAAAAAGTTTTATTTAAAAAAAGGGAGTAAGAAAATTTTTTCGTCTGCACGAATGCAATACTGAGGCCCCATAGGAAGGGCATCAGTAACAAGATACTTCCAAAATATTACAAACGTTCTAATCAAAAACACTTCGAACTATAGCTAATGTATTATGGCTCGTAAGCAACCACACAATACATAATGATCTTGGCATTCCAACCGTCCATGAAGTGATCCAGACATTAGCTAACAAACACAAAACTACAAATAAAAATCATACAAATTCACTGAAAGCTAACCTATACTTTGGTCATATGGAACGCAGAAGGCTAAAACGTTACTGGGCAAAAGATATCAAACCATTTATTTATTACTCTCTATACTCTTGAGTACATTTTAAATATGCAATGTAATTAATAATAGTAAAAAATATAATGAAATAGTAAAAAATTATTAAATTTGGAAACCGTGTGGATACACTACACCTATACTCCGCTATCAACTGACAAAACTAAGGGACAATAGCGTCGCATGCTATTTAATTAATTTATGATCTAAATAATATACATTTCTAAAATATTGTTTATTGATACTTATAGAAACCACTGACCCTTCTTTCTGGGACTTTTTTAAGCCTAAGATCTGTTTTTGTCGTTGATATTGTATTACCGATTTTAAATTTAATAAATGAAAATGAATTTCTTGAAAAAAAAAAAATAACAAGGTTTTGAAATGTTTTTTCAGTTTGTCTGAAGATCATCCAATGAAAAATAATAGCAGACTAGTAGGAATGTGTTAAAGATATGCGGAGAAGAAATAACCACCTTTAAAATTTTATACGACGAAAATGTGCAAACAAAAACAGTTTAATCGCCTAATAAATACATTGGAAAAATGTCAAATTAGAAATTCAAGAATGTTCGATATATTGTAGTCGGCAAATCTTCCATTCCTATTTTGCTTAAAATAGTACAAACTTCATTAGATAAATTTCTGTCCAATGTAAAACAAGATCCGGATTAGCCACAAATCGGGATAACCACATAATGAAATAATATTTTAAAGGAAACAAATTTTTGTTACGAATAAGAAAAGGAACATGTTAATAGAACGGATCGAGATGATAATAAACTGGCGGTAGAAATTACATCCGGTCATTTAGAAAAGCACGCAAACAAGAAAGTGAAATATATTATTTAGATAAGTCCTAGATAAATAAAGGCTAGAGAGTTTCCAAAGTTTGGCAGTATAAACACGTTATATTTCTACGCTTGGTCTTCATAGGAACATTGTCTTTAGGCTTGAATATGAAAGCATGAGATGCTCGTCGATTAACAACATTATATATAGGAGGTAGTAGTGGATTTGTAAATGATGGATTTTGTTCTGTCAGGTTAAAGTAATGGAATATTTTAGTACAAGGTAATTAGCTTATTCAAACTAAAAACAAAATATAAAGCTAAAAATGTGTTTTGAGGTACATTAGGGGTAAGTAAAAAAATGTTATAGCCTTGCAGCTTGTGCGTGATGGTGGACAGCTGCCATTGTCTGCCATATTGGAAGTTATAAAACAAAAGAAAACTTCGTTGATCTGCTTTAAATCTGAAAATCGCATATCTGCAAATGTAAATTCCTACAAGATTTAATATAATTTTTTATACCTTAAAAACCGATACTTCGAACAGTTTAGTTGGATAATCTGGATGGCCCAGGTTCGTTTGGATCAGTAATATAATCCTTTTCTAAGGAGCATTCTTGTACCTCCAACTGTTCTTCCCCGTCAACTACCATGAAAGGTCTGTTGCTGCATGCTTCACTATTGCATTTTCCACACATTGGGGTACATGGAAGTCCTCTTCGGCGACAGTCACATCTTTGGGCACAGTCAGTTTTACAGTTACAAAAAACCAACTTCAATATAGTTTCGGGGGCCAGAGGCTCTAGTGTAGGAGCCGGCAACAGTTGTCCCTCTTTTTTCATCCATCCCCACTCAGTAGCAGGAAGTTGGACCCCACGCCAAGACTGGACTTGATGAAAAACTCTGTAGCTGTGTTGTTTTGCTGCTCCAGATAACTTTCCATAAACTGTTTAGCTATAACCTTTTTATAACAGTTAAATCTGGTTTTGCTTAAGTCATCTAAAGAAACGCGACCGTTATATAATAATTTTATAATAATTTATACATTGAATGCCGAAACCTTTTGCCTTAATGTCTGGTTCGATTGCAAAAGTTTAAAAGCTTGTTTTTTTCCTTTATTAAAAAGGGAAGAAGATGTATCGCAACCTGTAACTGCATGGAGAAAAGAAATGTGATTTTTTACATCCCCAAGGGCTTCTTGGAGTAGGTTGCTATTAAATACTTTTTGTAGCCTAAACTTTGTTGCTGGAATTAACATAAAACATTCGTTATTACTTCTAACTACAGTTATAATTATGACCAGGAGATCAGTGTCTTCGCCGACTATAACTCCTTTCTTATTTTCAGTACAAAATATGACAGCTGTATTCACGATGTGGGTATCAGCATCTCCAGGAGAAATTTGAACTTTAAATTTAGCAGCTGTAAGTTTTACGGCCAAGAATGAAATAAAGTTAGTTTTGTTGGAAGTATTTTTCAGAAATTCTGACTGCGTACAAGAAGGAAAAATTGAATCACTTACAACAATATCCACGTACTTCTTAGCTTTATTGGACTCTTCTAATATGTTCTGCATTCTTCGTACCGTACTCACTTTCATTGTAGCCATCAAAAACAGTAGTACTTTCAGGGCCATAATGTCTTTTAATATAGTCGATATAACTGTCACATATTTGGGAAAATGAAGTAGGTTTTGGCCAAACTACTCTATGCAAAAGGTAACCACCGTCTATCACAAAACAAGGTTCTAAAGGTAATTCCACAGCTGTTGGACAACATTCCTCTATGATATCAATTAAAGATGACTTTTATCCTTTTCTCAGTGAAATAGAATCAAACAAAGATGTTGGCCGTGGAGCTAATTCATACTTTAAACATGACTGCAGTTCTTCGTCAAACTTTACGGTACAAAGTATTCCATGAAAGAGTTGATTGGAATTGATATTAATTTTTTCGTTGCCGACGTTTATTGTTTTCATAACAGCTGCCATGTTTTTCACCTTATCTTTGCGCAAGAACGTTGCTTTATCAAAAGATTTTCCAACAAACTTGTTTTGAGACATTTGACCAATTACTTTTGCATCATCCATCACAATTTACTGATTTATCTGCTTTTAGGCCGGTACCCAAAGAAGTTAATGTGTCAAAATTGCTTTTAAATGGAGTGATTTCGTAGCCAGATTAAAAATTTCTTAAAATCTGCGGTGTCGTGTATTTTACGAGAGTCGCGTGACTCTTGTTAGTCACTGTGACAGGGCAATACTCCAGTAAATTTTTCTACCGCACATATAACGTTTATAGTGGCCGGAATTGTATTAACCCAGCATGCGATCGTTGAATGTGTGAGACCTCGACCACGTGTAAGTCCTCCTTCCACTTTCATGGATCTCATTAACACCTGCTCGATAGTCAGATCCGTCCAAATGCCACTCCAGAATTTTGGTGTTCGATGAATAGTAAAATATCCATTGGCAACAAATTTGTCGTACTCTTCTTTAGGCATACGATTGTCAAGATCTAACTTAAAACGAGGAGTGTTAATACATGGGCTCTAAATGCTCTAGCATATGAATGTCCAGACAACAAGGAACTGATTGTATTTTTCGCATAAACTTGTTCCCACAACTCTTCAATACCACTTCCTTTCATTATATGACCAATAGCGGCCATGAAGGACATTAGAAGGTGAAATCCACCGAGGCGAACAATGACTTATGACAAAGGATTTCCTCTTTCAGCTGCCAAAACAATATCTAACGCTTTATTATGTAATGGTTGGTCAAACGTTACAATGCATGTTTTTTGACCCAGCTTCTTGCACTCTTCCAATGAATGTTGAAGACAAGTATAGATAGTTGATGGATTTGTTGGTAACATATTTGCAAAAGGTAGGGGACATATTGCTGACGTTTGATATTCGTGACTTTGATTTTTCATTGAAATATCCATAAAACCACTCCAACCTGGAAGGGGGATGTCAAAAGTTCTGCTATTTTAGCAGTAGGAGGCTCTATTTTTATAAGACTGAGGTCAGAAAAAATAATTTTGCCTAAACCAGAGTTTTTTCGGCCATTGTACATTTGTATCTTAATGTTTCCGTATTGTCCAATAGTGTCACTTTTTGTAAGCTTCTTTGGTCGTGGAACAGGTAAGTCATTTTGAAGTAGGTTAGCCGGTGTAACACATTGAATTCCTCCCATCACATGAAATGTTCCATGATCGTCAATTTTTCGAACATTATGTTCCGCATTATCGAATACAAATTGTAAAAATGCTTTGGAATCTATTCTCATAACGTCATTTTCGGTTAATGAATTCTCATATTTTAACACTTCTTTGTAAGAAATTTAAATACCTATGTTGAACAACATGTCAATAAGTGTTCTTGATGCAAACTTCCTGTGTAAATATATTTCCAAGCCAACCTGCAAGAGGGATAAATAACTTCTTGGTCGGGCCGCAGCTAATATAGAATTTGCCACAGTAACAATTTTTTTTTTCTGAGGGCTGCGAGTTTTTACCTTTAGATTTCATAACAGATTGCAATAGGCATTTTAAACTGTCGGGGATACCATTATAACCTCCTGAGGCTATTTTTTCAACGCAAGGGTAGTTATTATATTCACAGGTAAAGGAGTAAATAACTTCTTTGATTATAGTTGCGGCAGCTTCAATGATTCGCATTCACTCGTCTGCATTATTTTTTAATTTATCCTTATACCACCTATCATTTAGGATACGAGAAGCTGTACCACGGAAACATATAGTCCATTTTCCACTTTTTGATGTCATACAAATGGCATCACCATAATGAGACTTTAGTTTCATTTTAACATATTCTTCAGAATAAACTTCTTCTCCATCGAGGGATTTTTCTTTCATTATTGCCATCAATTCTTTTATGTCGTACTGACATTCATCATTATTTTCTAAAAAATCACACAACTGATAAAATGCATTATGTTTTGTCAAGTTTAAAGCGCTTTTATTATCACACAAATTTTACTTTCCCTTGGGATTACTCCCATGACGGTTGAATAACGTATAGCACGATTTATGGTATCGCGCTTCGGACGCAACTAAGTCTATAACTGAGTTTACGCGTACCAGAACATTATTTCCCCATTCGTCATTGCGCTCGTTACAAATTTTGATAATATTGTCTTTTATTTTCATAGTTGATACTAATGAAATAGGATTTCGGTTCGGATGGTTATTGTCCAGAACTTCGGCACAAAAGAGACACATCGTTTTAAAGTCAAACTGAAAGTTCAATCGCCGTAATTCCCGACGAGACTTTTCGTTAGATTGCTGCTCTTTCTCTTTTATACGCCGTATATACATATATCTACACATTTCGTATGTACTTCCACAGAGTCTTTGTTTTCAAACAATACATGCATATTATCATTTCGAAGAACACTCATCCTTTTAATATTTTCAATTCCTTTTTGCACTTTTACTATTTGTCCACCAATTAAAGTTTTCTCACACAAAACATAAACTTCAGAAGTTTCTATATTAGGAAATCAAAAACACAAAGTTATTTCTAAAAAACATAAAAAAAAAATCTGCGTTATTCGAAAACTAGACGCGACTCATCTAGACTGCACGTTTAGAAACTGACAAGAAGTGCCGCGAGCCGTCTGCCGTCTCTTGTTTCCATCCCTCCCGCGTCCCCACCACACGGCACACTCTGCAACACCAGAAATTAAGAATTGCTATACTAAAATAAACTCTTATACAAATTTTTAGCTTTATATTATGTTTTAAGAAATCTTCACTAATAATTGGCTAATTACCCTGTACTAATTTGGCAACGGTGGTAAAACACGCTAGTCTCACTTGTCAGTTAGCCGGGAGCATCCTCAGATAAATAAATAATAAAAATTTACATTGCGTTTGTTTGAAAGCAACATATACAAGCCAGTTGTTAGGAGGGGAAGAGCGGGGTTTGTTTACTTTTATTATCCAGTAGCGTATCAAATAAATGTCAATAGAAATGCTTTTGATTTAAATTATTTTATTAGTTTTGAGATATTTCAATGGATCAATGTTTCTAATATGAGATGTTTATAGAAAACCGTCAAAAATGAATTTTTTCAGTCGACCAATACATATATTTTTTAAATTAACATACATTATTTTCATACACAAATAATTTCAACAAATGTTGCAATGATATAGGTTTTATAAATTCTAAATTTTTGTACTAATATTTTTTAATAATATTGATTCTTTTGTATATTATTTTTATTGATTTATTATGAGTACCACTTATATATGTAATAAAAAATAGAATAAAGTATCTGTTTATTGTTAGTCCCTAAATTTTGTGCACAAAATATTTATGTTTTTTAATAATTGGGAAGGTAGGGTTAAAAACACAATTTTTATACTAGGTAGGTACTTATATGTAATTAATTTTATTAAATACATAGCTGGGTTAGATCTGGAAAACAAAAAAAGACAAATGTTATAATAACAGTTTAGAATAAAGCGATACTTATATAATAAGTAATAAGTTCATAATTACCGTTTTAAAATATTGCCAAGGTTTTATAATACACAATATTTTGAATGATAAACTCAAACAATATTTTTCTCATATTTTCTAAAATAACAGAATTATCTGGATCAACAAAGGGGGGGGGGTTAAGTAATCTGTCAAAAACGATTTAATGCAAACAAATTAAAAATTTATTTTATCTTAAGAGCAAACCGAACACCTTTATTTTTAGTCGGATTTTTGTGCAATTTTCAGGAAATATCAAAAAAACTTAGGGTGGAGAAAACTTGAATTATTTGCAAACCTTCGAAAAGTATTTATTTTGATTTTAAAAGGAATTTAAAAAAAAATATTACGCGCCATTCTCTATTAAATCTATGAAAATTTGTTTTTTGTTTTAAAAAATATGTAGCAGCTTTTAAATCAGACAATTTCTCGTCTTTTTTCCTTAAACGTCTATAGAGTGTTGCCTTATCGTTGCATAAATTTAAAGCTCTCAATATTCTCAAGACACGTAATATCACGAAGTATTCCAAGTGGCATGTATTTAAATACAATGTTATATTTGAAAATCCGTGAAACACTTATGCTATCGCGAGAAGTCCGGTTTGCTCTTAAGTTATTTCAGATCTATTTTAACAATATACACATACAAAGTATTCAACGATATGCACATATAAGCGAATTGATGTTACCGGTTTCTATTGCATAGAAAATCTGTCTTCCTTGAGTAGATTTCATCATGGCTGAATTAACAATGAACTTATGATATAACTATACGATGGATACAATATACATGGCTCAATTTTTCTAAGCTATATAAATATAAGGAATTCATTACAATATATAATGGATCATAAAGGTGCCTTAATTTCAGAAAAGTCCTTGGTTATAGCCACATTGCAATGGCATAAATTAAGTAAGTTAAACGTAATATAAATACAAACAAGTAACCTTGACATATTTAAAAAGATATATTTTTTCTCTAATTAAGTGTATTGAAATTTAAAAAAATATACATTTTACTTTTATTTGAGAGGTACATTTTTAATTGTGCATTTTTCTCCACGTTTTTGTTGAGGCATTAAGCGGTTTAAGGTAAAAATGGAAAATATCAATAATTATCT